CAAAAGAGGAAAGGGGAGAGGGAAGTTAAAAGAAATTGAGTTGGAAACAAGAGAAATTTTACTACTTGTTTACAAAACCTGTTTTTAAATCCTCATCTAAAAAACTTAATGTCCAAACCAAAGCAGATACTTAAATTGGTTTTGAGTACTCTCAATATCAAGATGAATACAGGGTTTTGTCCAATCTGTTTTGTACCTGGAACCTATCCAGTGGAAAAAAGTTATGGCTGATGTGCTGCTCCTTTGGTCTTGCATCAAAGACAGCTGTTCCCTCTTTCTGCTCATCCTTTCATTGCAAAATGTTACATTAATGCTGATCATTCCAATAAAGTCTTAACTACAGAAATAACAGAAGAATTAGAAAAGTAGGCCAAACACTTTCCCTTTTACTTAATCCAATTTCTTCCTTCTTACAACATATGTTTGGTCCTCTTGGTATATGGGTCAAGAAAAAGAAATTCTCACAAAAATCTGCTGAAATTCTAGTCCAGGACTCTCCCAGTGGAGGACCTGGATAAGTCACAGACATAACTTCAATCTTTCATGGCATTCACTCTTCTCAGTTATCTAAGTTCTCTGAAAAGCTGAGCATTGATATGAACATGGGAAGGTGAGAAGAGATACCAAACCACGTGGTTATCTCTCTTGCTCAGCAGGCCTGGATAAAAGTATATGTTTAGATTTAGAAATCCTTTTTTATTTGTTTGTATTTCCTACCCTACTCTGTGTTTCTTTTCAAAGATTGCAAGTGAAAATTTGTAATAAGAACTTTCCCATACATATTGCTGAATTCTGGAAGCAGGAATGGGAAGGGAATATTTGGATCATCCCTGCTGTTACTTCTGAATCTTGACTACTGCTGTTCACTTCCTTATCATTAATAAAAGATCAAGGAGATGACACAGAGACTGTGCTGAGAAACAGCAAGTGTGTTTTGACATGAATTTCCCAGAATAATTCTCTTTCTGTACTGATGCTAAAGTGTCACACAGGGAGGTTTTCTATTGGTTGAGTATGTGCCAAAGAATGTTAATAAAGGAGATGGTTGAGTTAGTAATTCTCTTTCAGAAATGTTCTGGGAGTGTGCACCACTGGGGTTTTTTTGAGTGGTATATATAGCACAGGCATGATGGACAGTGATTATCTGCATTGCTGCAAAGTAACTAACATTATAGGTCTGCCACATCCTTTCACAGTGAAGTATGAGTGCACCCAGTGTGCAAGATATCCACGTGCTCCCTTCGTCTCTACCAGTGGGTGGGAAACTTAAAACTGTGAAGAGAATAAGGAGTAAAAACTATAGGACTGAGAATTCCCTGAGTATTAATAAAAGGAATCAGTATCCCATTTTTACCCACAGATCTTAAAGGAACCTGTATGATCCAGTGACTAAAACTCAGATGTACAAAGAAGCTGAATGCCTCACTCTGTGTGGCTTTTTTGAAAATTCAAGGAAAAGGTGCAGTCAAGGTTAAGGAAAAGGTGCAGTGTCCATTTCCTGGTATCTCTGTGAAAAACACATGCATGGTTCCTAACCTGATTTGATGGTCCCTGAAATGTGGGTATATGCACAGTCCAGCACAGTGGAATATTCATCAATAAAATAGGTGTTATTTAAATTTTAAGCAGCCATGAATAAAAATATGGCAGAAGGCTCTCACAGGCTATTGCAATCTACTGAACTAATTACTTCCTAATTAAATTTTCCATAGCTTGTCTTTGGAAAACTACCCAAAAGTGTCCCTTCAGCATTTGTTCCAGGCACATTTTTCTGGTAAGGGGTTTATGTGGGATTTTAAGAAATTTAATATCAAATAAATAATAAAACAATAAATTTAATATCAAGTGGAGATTGCCAAGAATAGAAATTACAAAGGAGCTTTCTCATATTACTCAACCTTATTGTTACAGAGCTGTTTTCACAACATTTTGTTGTGAAACATTTGTGAACATTTGAAAAAACAAATTTAGTTTGGATTTTCCTGCATATTGAGAATTGATGACAGTGTTTGTTACCCAAATTGAACATTGTAAGTAGTTTAGAATCTCTGAAATTTTAGCCACGCTAACCAGAAATGGTGATACATTAAAGAAGCTCCATCACCTGTGGATTCACTGCAGATCACTGTCCCCACACTGTCAGAGGACAGTGTGCCACAAAACCAATAATAATTAGGACTCCTAGCCGAGGTGAAAAGCTATTGCCTCATGGAACTATTTTCCAATCCTCCTCCTTCCAGCTGAGCTGGACTAGTGACGCTATAAAATGGCAATTAAAAGACTCAAGTTTAAAAATACCTTCAGCTTCCCAGGTCCCACAATGGCAAAGGTTAAGTGGATTATGTGGAGATAATTCACTCAGCTCCAGGGGGAGGGTGCTGACTGCCAGGGCTGTTGGTTACGTCCCTCTCCCCTCCTCACTTGCTGAAGCACAGCTTGTTACAGTAGTGTCAGTTTTGCCAACCTAAAACAGGAAAAGGCCTGGGAAATTTTCCCAATGGACCCTGCAATTACTAATGGCCACTGAGTGGTACTTGCAAATTTCACTTTGATACAGACTGGAAAGCTGAACATGGAAGTGGTCCCTAGTCCTCAGCTAACATCTTAATGTTACCATTCATGCAAGTCTTCCAGTAAAAACACCCTGTTTCTTCAAGGGAAAAGGAATATGAAAAAGATTGCTGGCCTTACATGGACATCTACTCTCCCTGTGCTCCAACTGAATTAAAACCACCAATTACACCTCTAGTTGTGTGGCAACACCTACACTGTGTTTCCAATTAACTTTGTAAGTTTTTAATCAGTGACAAATGCATTTTGGTAAATTCAATTTGCCTTTTATTGCAGCACCTATAAAATGTCTTGCAGCATTCCGGAACTTTGTGAAGGTTTTACTTGCTACTGACATAACGCAGCTGTCGGACCTACAACAAAGGCTAAGGTTTATGAGCAACTTGAATTAGGATGTAGGTTAAGCAATTAAAGTTCGAGGAGGGGGAGGGGGAAATGGTTTCCCAAAATTTGCACTTGCCAATTTAAGAAAGCATGCCAAAAATATGTTCTACACTAGGATGGGAGAAGCTAAAGCAGCTAAGGAAACCATACTCAGCTTTAAAGTTGCTATTTTGAGAGAGTTCCATATGTGAAAGGTCACCCAGATTTCATTAATAAATCCTCTCTGCTGTTTGTTTTCTTTTTTAATCAAACTCAAATGCATCCTGTTAAAGGGGTGAGTGATTAGATCATAAATCTGGATGTCCTTGAAGATGATGAAGAAAATGCTTATCTGTAAAGCAATCATCATACTGCCATTTGTATCATTTACACATTTTTACATGTGCCGGGAAAATGGTTTAATTTTAAATAATTTTCTTGAATTTTTAGGTAAGAAAAAAATTTGTAGAATTTATGGTTAAAAGAGCAACTAGATTACTTGTGATATATGGAAAGAACCCATTACATCTAATCTTCTGTATCTAAATTCAGGGCATTAAAACAATCAACATTCTAAATAAACATAAATTAATATTTCGTCTTAGTAAAACTCAACTCTCAGTACATTCACTTCTGGTTCCAGTTATAGTATACAATTCTCCTAAATTCAACAACTCTGAAATTAGTCAGTTTTAATGGGGCCTGAGTATAAATGTGCTTTGCTGGGTTTAATTTGGACTGGTAGAGGCAATCCAAATGAAGTTATTAACTGTATTTTTGTTATATAAATGCATGGAAATCTTTGTTCTGTGGGGTCCAGACAGAACATATTGTGCTAGATTTCTCATTTCCTCTTTTTTTTTTTTCTATTTTTTATTTTTTATCTTGATTTTTCCTTTGTTTGCAAAGTATTTTTTCAGTACTTCTGGCAGTATATTTTTCTGTTGTAAGCATAATTGGGATATTGCTGCAACTTCTCCTGTGTGCATTTGGATCTTACAGTTGATTTGTCACTTTGCCTGAACCCAACTGTGGACATGACTCTGGCCAGCACCAGCAGCATATTTAGCTATTGCAGTGCTAGCAGGAATTTGGAAAATGAATGTCTCTTTGGAACTTTATTAAAGCAATGGATGTGGAAAATAATTCTTTTGGACTTATAAACATTCTTACAAAAGGAATGTGATATGGAGCAATATTTTGAGGCGGGTAAACACATGATGCAATTTTTTAGCTGCAGGACTGCATGACCTGCTTTTACTTTAACATAAACCCCATCTAGATTGATTCAATGGAAACATTTTGATTTCTGGAGACTTGATCCATAGAGGTAAAATTACAAGGTAAGTCTGGCCCTGATGCTAGTGCCAAAATGTGGACCTGTGGGATTTAGCACAGTGCACGTTATCTGATGACAGTGGATGTGTTGCATTATTTAGTGAATAGAATGTCCACTCTGCAAGGATTTATGTGTTTGTTTAACTTTGTTCTGTCTGGTTAATTACTCACAGTCACAAAAGATCCTTACTTGTATAGAGTGAAACATCAATGTGTTTTATTCTCAAAATGTTTTTTAAATTACTTGTTTAATTGCTTACTAGTTGAAAAGGCGATATAGTAAAAGCTTATTGTACTTACCTAAGGTCTAAGGTTTCTAAATTATATTTTCTCTGCAGATCATAGTGAGCAGAGGGAGCAACAGCATCATTTGAAAATTTGTATAGATGCACTCCTATGCTCCTAACTTTACTTCACACCATTTTCTTTAACTGACATTTATAAACATTATTTTTATTTGGTTTGTTGTAGACCCTGCAATCCTCTCCTCATAAACGCAAACGCTAACTTAAATTGAGTTCAGCAAGCAGTTTTGAGCTGCATGCAGAGAAGATTAAAAGAAATAGTACAAAATCCTCTCCTGGGAAAGATCAAATGGCTACTGAAATGAAAGCAGCCTAAAACTGTAGGGTTTAACCCAGAATGGGGGAGGGGATTTGGGCATTTAGCTATAATTAACACCTTCTACTTACACTCTCCAGTGTTTCAAACGGATTGTTTTTTATTATAGGTAGCTGCTCACAAACCTGAAACCACTTTATTAAAAAAAAAATAGCATCAGAAAAAAATATTAGCAACTAATAAAGCTAAATTCAGACAATCACTCTTCAAGCAATGGTTCTGTATTCCTCAGACTTCTATAGTCAGCCATAAAGTCATCAAGCATTAGTTACATATAAAGAGACACTATTTCAGTGTGAATATGTGATCACAGAAAAATCACACTTTTTTCTGCTTTCTGCAGAACTTGCACTGAAATTTTGCTTGGGTGAGCACTGTATTAGTTTATTTGAAGCTTGAGATCAGCAACTTTATCTAGGATAAATGTCTTAAGTATTCTTGATGTTATTTCTTCGATCCCCCTTTGTTTCTGCCATTGTTGCTTAAAAGTATCTCAGACAGGTACCTAGAACATTTTAAATGAAGATATTGTAGCTCTTCTTTTTTTCAGTTTGTCTTGACAGATAAAGTGCCCAAAGAAACAGAAAAGCTGACAAAGCTTCCTAACTTGGCTTTCAGAGACCTTGCTCAGTGTTTTTGGTAAGTTGCATGCTGGAGTCTGAAATATAACTTATTTTCTCTCCCTTTCTTCTATCATGAGTCAATCATTGTCAGGTCATTGCCTACTGATCATTCAGTCCCTCAGTTTGGTGCCAGAAAAGTACTTGTTTTTCCAAAAAATGTTGCTATCTTGCATCAGCTGATCTTAAAGTAAGATTTTCTGGCTTTCTGAATTTTGATTTACATGTTGCTACTACCACAGTCCTTTGGCATTTATAAATTCATATCCTGTGTAGGTTCATATCCTGCCCTTGTAATGCTTTGCAGGCTGTTAGCATACTTCTTCAACTGGTGGAGATAAACGCTGGTAGTACATCGTAAAAATAAATTCTGGCTCACATGTGTATTAAAGAAAATATAATCTATATATTCTGAAGTAACAAGACAGTGGAATTTGTTTTGGAATTCTTCTGTAACTGTAAAAGTGCCTCAAAATCATCACCTCTCCTTTGCCCTCTCCTGCTGAGCTGTACAAGGAACCCGAGAAGTGTGAACAGAGTGCAGATGTGTCCTGCTGAGTCCTCTGTTTACCACGGATCTACCCCTGAGCAACATACCTGGTGATTCTGATAAATTTATGTACACAACCTTGTATAAGATTAGCAGTGTTTTCTCTGTGTGAGGCTAAGACCCCCAATACCAGGAGTTTTGGTACAGTGGGTAGGGAGATGACAGATTGCACTTATTGATGTCAGTGATCCATTTTAGTGCATACTGAATTATTTTGGTGTTTAAGAAATAAGCTGATAAAACTAAGATTGTAACATTGGTTCCTTTCTTCTGTGGCTGAAGTCTATGAGATAGGAAGATTTGTTTCCAGGTTTTTTGTTTTGTTCCTAAAGAAAGACTGTATTGACAATAAACCTATTAGAAGTAATTTCTTCTGCAGATAAGGTTAATGCTTTTGAGCTTGCTCTTCCATGCCTAGGGGGTGTAACACATATGGTAAGTAACAATAAAATACTGATCTGACTGTACAACTTTATGTAAGGCATGTGTGACTAAAACCTGAGCAATAAAATTTCCTTTCCTGCTCAGACAGAATTGTATATGCCTGTCATATTTTATTGGCTGTTAAATGGCACATGCACTTATGGATCACAACTGAAACCAGACAGCCTACGGTATCATTGCATATTTGTCATCTTCAATGAAAACATTGCAGCAGATTTCTGTATACTTGGGCAAATTAAGCTACAGGAAAGTAAACAATCATGTTGCTGATGAATATGTATGCACTTAAAGCAAGTGGGAACTTCAACTGTTCAGTACTAGTGGCAAAAAATGTTTCTGATTTAAGTAGTGACACGCGGTGATCAGAAAGCAACATTGTAAAGCAGTATTTTTTTAAGATAAATGGACACCTTATGCAGACAAAAATAGCTTATGGATCCAACAAATTAGACTCATTTTAGCTGCATTAGTAAATACCATGTAATTCATTAACATCCAGTGACTAGAGCTATATGAAAGAGATACACAAAACTTCAGTTACTGACTTAATATCAGTATCACTGTGAATAGTGTTCCTCATCCTTCTGGATTCTGAGATTGTTGGTTCCTTTCCTACATGGTAGACAATTCTGGCAAATTATAAAAACTATTAAAAAAATTCAAGAGGAATCACATATAACAAAATTTTTAAAATAGATTGTGTTAAATATGCTGTGAAATTGTACTTTAAATTCCCTTTCATGGAATCCAACAGCAAAAATTAATGTCAGTGATTTTAATGTTAGTCATCAATATGAATACACATAAATTAATAATATCACATGCTGCAAACCAAACTGCATTATTGTACTGTGTGATAAACAGAAGAAATTATACAGTTACACTTGTAATCCATCCTCTGCCCTTTCTTGAAAGTGGCTACAATTATATTTGTTTAGCAACAAATAAAGCCTTATCACTTTTGTGTAGTCCACATGGCAGCATAGCCCACTGAATAAGCTGTTTGGACACAGCAACACTAACCTTTATCAGAAATACTTTGGGTCAGGAAATATAGGAAATTTCTTTCTTTGCAGGTATTAAGAAATATCTATGGTAAATGCCCAGCCCTCACCTCAACCAAATAAGTAACCAGGAGAGGACCAGGCAGATCTGGATTCTGAAGAGTGGTGTGACACTATTTTAAAGCTTCCAAAGGTAAGAAGATTTAATTTTTTCATATTCTTGACACCAATACCTAAGAAGGGACTCCAGAGTGACAGTGACATGTTAGGAAAATGAGAGTGGATAAGTGAAATTTTGTATAATTTTCATATATGTATAATTTTCTTACCCAACAATGTGAACATTTCAGATAGCATGTGTTTTTTTCACATGTGAATGTTAATGTGAATGTTTTAACCTGTGAATTTCCATTTTTTTGCTAGATTGGTTGCATGAAAATGCTAAAACAGTCTTCTGAGGACTGATGTAATGATTCTGACACTTTTAAACACTGTCTTAAAGTAAACTGCAACAATTGACAATTTTGAAATACATTCCATCATCTTTCAAAATCTTAGGTTTTGAGTAACTATTTTTTTTCATATTTGAAATGTGTCTTCCCACAGAACTGAGGTTTAAGTTGCAAAATCAGAAACAGAGTTTGCTGAACGTTTTTGAAGCATGATTTTAGCTTATGAGATGTGATGGCCATGGTCTCTGTAGTCAGGTCTCTGATCTTATTCCAAATACCACTTGTATGCCATGTATTTTTGACATAGCTGTAAACTTGATGCTACTCTTTTAATTGGGGGTACACAAGAGTTTATTTTGAAGAAAATAGGAGTATTTAAACATATTCGAGGATCACTCCTACCCTCAGGCATTTCTCCTTGGTTCCTACTGATAGCACTATTTTCAAAGTGTTTGGCTGATGGAGTGCATTAAACCCCCACGGTTGGTGCAGCTCAGTCACTGCTGCTCCCTCTGCTGGTAGTGAGAGATGAAATTACAATCAACATCATGGAGCTATAACTGTTCCAGAACAGAAAATAAAATATTCACAGTTCATATGAGTAAATCAGCTCATACCCACAATTTTTGTGTTAAACTGAGCTCTTTTTTTTATCTGACCTGTTCCGTGTGGTATACCTACTGCAATTTCATGTATTTTCAACCATGATTCTTTTTATAAAATGCTGAATTATCTCACGTAAAAAAAAAATCCTTATTTCAAAGCAGTCACTAGATAAAAATCAGCATGCAAGCTAGCATCCAGAATGGATTCTGCCCAAAACTGTGTGAATGTATGGCCAGTACCCTGTTGCCAACAGAAATAGATCAGAAGTGCAGTAACTGAAACATTAAGCAGCTTACTCAGGAGATACATGTGAAAAGTATTCACATGATTTCCCAGCCAAGCCACTCCACACCTCCTACTAAATCTTTGTTTAACACCATGTGTATGAGACGTATTCTTATTTTCATAACATGAACATGGTAAAGGGCTAAAGGACTGAATTGCAGTAAATTGATAATGCTTTAAACTAAAATTCTCATCCAAGGCAAATGGATACAATGTCATATTATTTTAGAATTTAATCTGCGTACCCAGCTTTCACTCACTGTTAAAGAAGTTGCAGATGTGCATCTGTAAGAAGAATCTGAGCCTGCCTTTAGTGCTTAGCACACAGCTTGTGCCTTCACGCAAGCAGGGAAGCACATGTTGCCAGTGTTGATCATTCAGACACAAGGTGTGTATAGTTCCTACACATTATTCCCTGAAGGACATAAATACCAACAGCCAAATGCCTTTAAGTCGCAAGAAAATGTGTCTCCCTTCTTACTTTTCATTTTTGTGAATAAGGGGGCTTTCAAGGAAATGCAATAGTACTACTAAAACTAAAGATCCAAGTCTACTTAAGGCACCTTAGTGAAATGGGTTTGTTGGTCTCACATCAGTGGATATTGCAAAAACATTTCAACTCAGCTGATAGTCTTATTTAAGCTGAGCTTTTTGGACTGAAATAATAGGGAGATCTATATAACTAAATTATTTTCACCTCAAGAGATATTTTTGCCTTTGAGGGTATACTTGGGAGCAGTGACATGATAATAAGAGTGCAGACTACACATTTGCATGCAGGTGCAAAAGGAGCCAGGCTTAGATTAGTGATCTGAGCTACTAACATTAAAATAAAGTTTTATGATAAATGCAGAAAAGCTTTCCAATTACTCAGAATTCTTACATTGGCTGTCCAGCAAAAAAAAAAAAAAACACAACAAAACACCACCAGTGGCAGCAACAGCATGTTTAAGAGGAATGAAATGAAAACTATAGATCCAATTTCTGGACTTAGTCTCTTATAGGAGTGAGTTACTATAATCTAATTCTAATGCATATTTCCATGTGGGCACCCAAGGGATCATCCAAGGAAGCACCACATTTTCACAGTCTTAAAGGAATGACAGACATTCAAGGAAGAAAGCTAAGTTTAAATGAGGTTAAAAATTTAGTATAATGAACATTACTTGACATGTTTTACCAGATGAAAATATTTATTCAAGACCACCACCCCCATATCCATTTTAAAGAAAAATAAAAGCTTAAAGATTGTCAGTTTTTCTACACAGTATTTATGAGTGGAATAAAGGACACTCCTGCTCAGTTTGATTTCTTGGGAAATAGAAAGAAAGTCAGGATACTATTAACATTATTTTTTTCCTAATGCACTCTGGACTAAGACACTCCTCTACTGCAATTCCTTCTAGGTAGAGGTTGTATTTTTCTCAATCCATTATTTTATCTCACCAGGCAAGAAATTTCCATAGCATGTTTAAAAAGCTCCCCCAAAACTCTTCATGTCATGCAGCTTAATTCCTTGGACTCTTAACCCTCACAGACATAAAATTAGTATTTTGCACAGTTCTTGAACAGCAAAATTACTCAGAAGTAGATTGAAGTTTATGATATGCAGAAATGTGAGTTATTAACAGAGAACCTATTCTAGGACTGGGAGGTACAGGATATTTTGCGCTCCAAGAATGATGTTTCTGAAGATGAATCCTTAAGGTTGAAAATGTTCCAGCTGTAATCCTACTGAGTAATGCTTCCTGAGTGAAGTCATGGCATTACTTCTGGGAATAATTCAGCCCTGGAACTTGGTCCTTTTACTATTTTAGATTAGATGAGCCAATTTCTTTAACACAATTCTGCTATGACTGCTGTTTACTTTTTTCCAAACTTTTGGTATCTTGTTATCTCTGGCATTTACTAAATGGAGTTAAAAACAAATTTTATGCTTACTCTGTGTCAAGTTATCATGGGAACACAAAGGAAAAATGAGATAAAAACTCAAGGATGTAGACTCTGTGAAGAAAAAATAGTTGCATTCAATTGAAAAGGGAAGTCTGGCTCTTTCTACCTCCAGCAGAAAGGTTAGCTTGCCTTGGCAGTGCTTCCCTCATGCTGCTGGGCAGGGGAAGGCAGCACCTGTACCTGCTGCACTGTGACAAGTCTCCCTACACACACCATGCCTGGCTGTGCTCGCATCCTGCGTGGCTGGGGGCTGCCTGTGTCAACAGCAGCACTCTTACCACACACGATGGAGACTAATTGCTCAAAATGAAGAAAAACTTGGCTTCCCCCTAGGCCAGCACTTGGTCCAAATTTAACAATTGCTTTAGAAATCTAGACATTAAATGCAAGATGATTCTGTTGTATGATACACAGTTTAACGACTTCAGCTTTTTCCATGCTGCATGGATACATTTGGTGAAGATTTTTAAACACCAACAGCTTCTGCTAAGCATTAAAAATGAAAAGCATAATATAACAGGTGCAAAAGCAGCTCTTTAATGTTCTTGTGCTTTCCTCATGAGTTAGGTGGATACAACATACTCCAAAAGGATAAACTGCTGGTTTAATATACCAGCCTGACTTCCCCTTAGGAGCTCTGAAGCAGTGATACTTATGCAGCTACTAATTTTTCTTTACATTGCTTCTTCTGAGAAAGATGAATTTTCTCTGCCAAAGTTCTCTCAGCTATAATTTGGGTTTCTGTTTCTCAAAAAAGCCTTCTGTATTAAATCAGATGTAAATGTCCTGTTTAGCTATCTCTTAATGCTACCAAAAGATAAAAGATAGTAGGTAACATGGAAGATTCTTTTATATTAGACTCATCAGTCTACTTCCACTATTAGCTAAAGTATAAGATAGTATTATCTTCTTTTTCTTGTTTGTTTGCTTGTGGTGTTTTGTTTTTTCATTCTACCAGTCTACTTGCTTTATGTGATTCAAAGGATGCCTTACTGATAAACAGAAAAATGAACTATGTGATGCTCTTCAGCAGTTACAGACAGCCAAAGGGGAGGTCTTTTCCATGATTTGAAATAGAAAAGTGTAATAGAAATAGTGTGTTTAATGTTACTTAGTAAGTAAGTATGTGTCTTCCCAGACCAAAATCTGCAGTAACAGAGAGAATAGTTTGCTTCATCCTTGCAGCTGTGCAAACAAGTGAAGTGCTTTTCCCAGTCAGGTTTTCACTGATTGAATCACAGGGGGTTTCCACTGTTTCCTATTTACAGAAAAGTCTACTGTTTTTTAATTTTCAGTTTCAAACTAATTTAACAGTTCCTCTCTTTCATTATAGTCCATCACTGAACTTCAAGGGGAAAAAAAATTAAAAGAAGCAGGGAAGAAGAAAAAAAAAAAGAACTATCAGCAAACAATTTTGGCATTCTAGTTTTCTGTAAACCTGCAGATTCTCTGCAGCTCAAATAATTATTTTGATTACATTTTGGATTTTTCACTTAAACATTCAGTGCTTCCTGGGTTTACTACTCTATCTTTAAAAGTCTCTGAATGTTTTTCCCAAATAGACATTTCTGAAGGATGCTTCTGAACTCAGACGTCCCATACTCATAGAATTAATAGAATAAAAAATAAATTTGATTATGTAGGAACCACACAATTGTCCCAGATCTCCTTTCACAAGCAAAAGAAAGAGTTGGTCCTAAACAGATTGTAACTGAAGTAAAAACATATGAAGAGTGTGGAAGGCAAAGAAAGCCAAGTGACTACTACCTGCACTTCAATGAGATTGCCAAGTCAGTCTGATTTTTCAGTCTATTTTCTCAAGTATGGATAATCCTTTAAAAAATATTTCAAGGCTGGCAACTGAAGACATAGAAAGACATTTTAATTCCTTGAAATT